AAGAGACAGCGATAATGTCATGTTGATGATAAAAAGGAGAAAAGTGGGAAAAAAACAAAAGACAACATATCCCCCACGACCTTTTTTTTCTCTCATCTTCACCCCACGACCTTTTTTTTCTCTCATCTTCACCCCACGACCTTAAAACTTGCAAGACAAGCTTAGAATAAACATACATATATACACAGGAGGGGCATGTAATATCATTGACTGCGAGATTGGGGAGCATCTATATATATATATGGCTTTTCGGACACGCATTCGATGACCAAAACAGATTAAGTCTACTGGCATCCAAGTTCCTGTAATATCTTAGTATACTTTGAGTTGTCTGAGATTTAATGTTAATATACTGTGAACTTTTTACTATAAACTACATGCATCATGCATATATACGTACGTATAATACCTAACTTTGAATTCAAGCAAATCAAAAGTAAAAAAAAAAAAAAAAAGGTGGTCCATCAGTAAATGTTAGATCCATAGATGCAACTGGCATTTGCTTTCTTTCACTAAGGGTACTGTAAGCATTGTAAAGTGACTATTCGAAGTTGATATGTCTGCTATGTGATTGTAAATTTATGGGAAGAGTATCTTTTGTACTTTGAATGGTGAAAATTTTGATTCGTCTAAAAAAAAAACATAAATGATAAATTCAAACTATAAATATGTCTGATTAATCTAATAGTAACAGGGAGCTAGGTAGAGATCATTTATTTTTGGTCATAAGGTATTTTTTGGGATATATGACCCTAATTTTGTTTCATGCATGGTACATGTTATTGGTCGCGACATAAATGTGTAACATTGATCATCTTATATGGCTTTTCCTATGTCCCTTGTATAGTTGTATATTGTTTGCTTGGAATCATGAAATTATGTACTGCTGCTAAGTCCTTTTCAAAATTGGGAAGGTCATTTTTGTGTATGAATTGTTTCTTCACAAGTCATTTTCTGCTTTCCTCACTTTTCTACTTTCTACGGACTCATTGTGTTTCCAATTTCTGTTTTTTTTTTTTTACAGAAAAAAGTGTGAAAATGGTACTGCTGATCCCCAAAAAAAAAAAGTGTGAAAATGGTACTGCTGATCCCCAAAAAAAAAAAGTGTGAAAATGATACATCCCCTAATAATTTTCAGAACAAAACAAACCAAACGTGAAAGATCAAGGAAAATGCAATTTTAAAAAAAAGTTTTTTATTTTATTTTTGTTATAAGTTTTTTTTAAAAGGTAAAAGCCCAAATTCATCCCTAAAATAGAAAAATAGGGACAAATTCATCCCTAAATATATATATATAGGGACAAATTACATTTTTTAATTATAAATCAAGATAAATTACTTACTTTTTAACATGTGATTTATCTCAATTTATAATTTTTTATATTTTTGTGAGGCGCAAACCTATTATTACCCTCTATTTTAGCAGTAGACTTGGGATTCTTTCTAAAAAATACAGATTAAGAGATTTTTAAAAAAAATAATATTTAATTTATTAATTATTTAATTAAATTTATTTATTTATATAATAATATTAAAATTAATCTTATTTTTTATATTTTTTCATATAAATTTACAATAAAAATGTGTCTTTTATATATGTGCGGTTGTGCCCTTAGTAAACCCTTTGTTATATCATAAACCATCTTGTCTTGGATAAATGATACGCGGTACTAATAATTTTTTAGTTGGGCCAAGCAAAAAAATTTCTGATAAAACATTTTAGGCCTGCCAAACTAACTTTAGCGCAATAGTTTTAAGGGTTTGTTTAAGGTATGTCCTTGAGAATAAATTAAAAAACAATAAATATAGTTTTTAATAATTAATTTATATAAAAAATTATAAAAGTATATATATTTTAAGGTTAAAATTTTATTTTGATTTCTCTATTTTAACAAAAAACTCCTTTTAGTCTCTCTACTTAAAAAAGTTCCCTTTTAGTCCTTAAAGTTTATTATCTAGTCTCGTTTTACTTTTTTTGTTATCTTTTTGCACAAATATCACGTTAGATAACAAAAATTTCAAAGTAGAGAGATTAAAAAAAAATTTATTTCAAAGTAAAGAGACTACTTTTGCCATTTAGCATGTTACATGTGTAAAGAATAACAGAGGAGTTAAAAAAAAAGTCAGATAATAAACCTTAGGAATTAAAAAGGAACTTTTTTAAGTAGAAAGACTAAAAAAGAAATTTTTTTTATTAAAGTAATAAGACCAAAATGAGATTTTAACTTTATTTTAACACCATTAACATATAAATGATTTTAATTGGTTAATTTATTAATTTAAAGTTAACATTTACCTTTTTATATAAATTAATTGTAAAAAAATACATTAATTATATCCCTTAATTTATACTCAAGAGCACATGTTAAAAAAAAAAAAATCTAATTTTAATAATAAAGCCGTAATTTAGGTTTCCTAATTTCTACAGTAATGGCAAGCCCAATAGATTTTGCAGTTGGGCCATAAGTACCCATAAAAAATGCAAATACTAAATAGGATTATATATTATAGGAAAATGATTTTTATATACTTTTTTGTCTTACTTTTTTTACAACTTAATGTGTTATTGAAATAATTAATTTTTTTAATTTATATGAAATTTATGATATTAAATACATTTATTTATTTAATAATATGTAAAAATTATATAAAAAAATAATATAAAAAAATTATCACTATAACTCTACCTTATATATCAATTGTGTGATCATGGAAATTTTAAGGCTTTACACGTCTCGAACGGTCGAACCCCTCCAGTAGAGCTCCCTTGCGTTTCAGTGCCGCCGCTTCTTCTTCCAGAGTTGGTAGTCTAGATGGCAGTGCAGGCCAATTAATAAAATATAAAACTAAAAACATTCTGTGTTATTTTTATTTTAATAGATAGAGCTTTAAAATTATTGACATTTTTTAAAAGAAAATAAGACATGTGCGTAACCCTCTTGAATGTATGTCCGCCCTGACATAATGTTTTTTTCTATGTTTTATTGGTTAAGGTTTTTTTGTCACTTGTACTAAAATGATTCTAATATTTAGTGGTGGAAATTACCTGCATTTCTAGAATGGAATTTGACCCACCACATTGTTGTAATTATAGGCTTGGTATTCCAGTTTCTACTGAACTAGAAAATTGCAACGCCAAAATTTTCAATGGGCTTTAGTTTTTGCTGAAAAAGGAGGATATATTGGAGGAGGAAGATAAAACCTTCTAGTCTAATGAAAATGCACCCCCATAGCTGAATGGTGATATACACCTGCAGATTGGAAATGGGTTTTTGATACATTCATTGGGGACATAGGGTCTGCTGCTGCCTGCAGGCTTCTCTTAGGTTCATAGTCGATATCCATTAGTCACTAATATGGAAATTGTTCAGATTTGTGCTCCTTTATGTCCTGTTTTTGAGTGCTATTTTTAAAACTTTCAAAATGCTTTTGTTAAAAAAGGTTACAAAATTCTTTTCTTAATTTGAATAGCAATGTATTGCTTTAGATCATATATCTGTCTTCCTAGGTTTTTTTTTTTCTTTTAGGATGGAGAGGGGGTTGGGGGTGGGGACGTTTATGTGAAAGTGATGCTGATGGATCATCTTGTAATTAACTTGCATGAGGATTGGAATAAAGATTTAAAGCTGATCTTTGGGGGAAGTTCTGGTGATCATGCAAACAACTTGATAGATTCCCTAAAACTACTGGTGGGTTCCTTGCCAATAGTGTCAAGCCAATTTCAACCTCACCAAAACTGAGATACATTCCACCCAAGGAGAGTGGGGGCGCAACAGCACTCGGTGAGTGGTAACATTAGGGAGAGACTGTGTGAAGCGTCCCATCTCCATTAATCGATAAAAAAGTTTATTTAACGTGTGTCTTTTTCAAGTATATTAATTATATAGAAAAATAGGTAATAATTTGTATTATAAAAAATTA